AGCCAGCCTCGTGTAACCTCCCGAGAGGCCAGCACCAACCAGGAGGGACACGGATCCAGTAAACATGTGGCTGCGCTCAGTCTGCCCAGTATCCTGTCCACGTCTTCGGGCGTCACAGAATCAAACTCTTCCCAGATAATACTCACAAGACCTGCCTCTGTCCTCCCTGCTGAATCTACCCAGTCAGAGTCCAGATGTTCCCGAATCTGAGCGATTTTGTCATAAAGATACTGTACAAAATCCTCGGCTCTACCCTCCAAGGGGTCCTCCCGCGCTTCCTGGTGGAGCAGGGAGCGGGTCACCCTAAACAGGGCGGCCGGGCGATTATCTGATGATGCAATAAGAGTGGCAAAATAGTTATACTTCGCCACTTTTATCGCCACCAGGTAGGTCTTAATGTGAGATCTTACCAGTGTTCGGTTAGATTCAGAATGGCTGGCCCTCCAACCACTCTCCAGGTGTCTTTTCCGGCGCTTCATCTCCCTCAGCTCCTCGGTGAACCAAGGAGCCAGGTGAGATCGACGCCGGGTCAGAGGCCGCAAAGGCACGACCCGATCCAAAGCTCCAGCGGCCGCCCTATCCCAGGCGGCCACCAGCTCCTCAGTCGAGCCGTGTGCCAGAGCCTCAGGAAATGGCCCAAGCTCTGTCTGGAACCTATCAGGATCCATCAGGCGCCTGGGGTGGTACCACCTCAATGGTTCCGCCTCCCTGTGGCGGGGTGCGGCAGTTTGAAGGTCAAAGTGAAGGAGGGAGTGATCTGACCATGACAAGGGCTTGATCACTATATCCCCTATCTCAAGATCACTCAACCACTGACCAGAGACAAATACCAGGTCTAGCGTGTTTCCCCCCGTGTGAGTAGGGCCATGAACTAACTGGGTCAGGTCCATGGCTGTCATGGAACCCATGAACTCCCAAGCCACCTCAGACACCTCACCAATGGATGGCAGGTTAAAATCCCCCATGACCATAAGCCTGGGGGTGTCAACCGCCACCGCGGCTATAACGTTGAGCAGTTAGGCAGGGCTGCCGTCACGTGGCAGGGAGCCAGGTACGTAACCAGCACACCCATCTGCACCCCATGACCCCACTTCACAAGGAGGGACTCACAACCAGCCGTCTGAGGACCTCCCTCGGACCAAGACCTTCTCTAATGACAACCGCCACCCCCCGCCCCTCCCCTGTGTCCTCGGCTGATGGAATGCGCGGAAACCGGGTGGGCACATCTCAACGAGGGGGACCCCCCCTCCTGGCCCAACCAGGTCTCCGTAATACCCGCCAGGTCCGCTCCCCCCTCCTGAACAAGATCACAAATGAGGGGGGCTTTATTTACCACGGACCGGGCGTTGCACAGCATCAGCCGAAGGCCCAGGGCCTGAGGGTCTGTGCAACCTGGGGAACGAGGGGAGCATTGGAGGCCGGAGCGCGCCACCGCTTGGAGCCAGCGGGCGCACGCTCCCACAACCTGATGTGGCCCCCTGCTCCCGCCATATCTGCCTCTCCCACCCACAGTACTGATGTAATGACCATCCATAACACAAGCTCTAACTCCCTCCTTGACCCCGGTTCCCGCATCTCTAGAGCCGTGCTCTTCAGCCAGCTCTGGCTACTCCCCGACAGGTTCTCCCCCAAACCCACCGAACCCACCCCCCTCCCAGAAACCTTTAAAACCTTATCTAAAAATTTCCCCAAAAAAACCCACAACCCCCTCCTCGCCGCATGCCACCTCTTGGGATTCCAAAATCCATCATCAAGGTAGGCCCTCGATAGTGAGGAGGGCCAAACCTGCGAGAGGGGGGAGTCTCGCAGCGCAAGCAGGTCAGCAGCCGTAAACATCGCACAGCTTGGAGAGCTGCCAGGCCGATATCTTCAAAACTTGGCAAGGATTCTCTGGGAATCACAAGCCAATTAAGCAAACTAATTGTCTCCTGTGAACTCCCCTCCCTGTTCGCTCCTCTTTTATTCCCTATGGGAGGGGGCCGTTCATCGTTCACCTGTGGCCTTACTCCCAAGTCGATCCTCGTTCCTCAGCTGTCCCCTTCATCTGGCAACTCTGAGCATGCGCCCACTGGGAACAGGCTCCAACTGTTCATCTGCCTCACTGATGTCTGACTCCAAAGGCAACTGATAACTGTCAGACTGCCCTGATCCCATCTCTGCCTCTGACACAGAGACTTTGCCAGACTCCAGGACTAGCCCATGTTCCTCCCCAACCTCCTGACTGTCCGAATCTGCTGCCAGCTCTGCTAGCTGCTGGCAGGCCACAGCACTGAGTTACAATGAGATGCATGTACGTCTACCTCTGAAAAATGACCAAGAAACCACTGTTCTTTTAAAACCAGGCTTGCTAGTCTATCAGCTGGTGGAGATATAATCAGATTTTAGAAATCTTTACTGGAAATGGCTCACTGCCAAGCGAAATTTGAAAAAAAATCTAGTGCTTCACTTTAATATACTGTATGGCTTGGGGCACGGAGGAATTCAGTATTCTAGCATTGGGAGGCTTTTTGACGAAGAAATTAGATGGTGATGAAGCAAGACAACTTCTAACTTTAGTGCAATTTTATTTAATTTAAATTAAAAGTCTACATGACTTAAGGCTGTTAAGGGACTGCTTCTTGTGTTATGAAACCTGTTGGGGAGTTAAATCTGTGGAATAAGCCTTTTTAAGGATTTTGCTGCAGTCAAGGTCCGTTCCTCTGGAACACGAGGGAAGGTCTATTTCTGCATTGCTCCTAGGCTTACAATGCACATTCCCTTGGAAGTTGAGTTTGACCTCTCCTTAAATTGGATGCATCTCTTTTGCTGGGCTTTTAATCATTAAATTATTTGATGCCTAGTGTTAATTAAGTACTATAAACGTAACATTAAATCCTTTGGGTTTTTAAAAAAGTTTGCTAGTACTTGTAGCTAGAAAGTAGAAAGACTATAAAAACCAACAAAATGTAACTTCAACTGAAGTTAACTTCAGTTAACTTAATTAAATACAATATTGTTTCATATATAGACTGGTCTCATTCAGACGTATTAAAGTTTGGTAGCAATTTTAGGAAAACCTCTGAAGTCAGATATAAAGCCTTGAAGGAGGGATTGTAGCTCTGGAAGATTGTAAAGCATTCACATGATGAGTTTTGCCTAGTTTCTAACAAAGTATCTTAGACTATAGGGCAATAAATGAGTTGCAATGGCTTTTAGCACTATTTTTATTGCTTTATAGGTATTGTATTTTATGATAATATTTCTCCAGGGGAATTTTCATAGTAGAACTTTATAAGATTTTTAAAAATGCTCCTCAAGAGTGATATTTCATATATTTGATTTTGCTGTCACTTTTGACTTAGTCCAAACTGATATTCTTAGAGACATTTCAGCTTCCATCATTACCAAATGAAAAGACAAAACAAAAGCTAAGGTACATATATTTTGATTCCCAAATGTACTCTTATACACTTTTTTCTCAGTGTATTTTTGTTGGTTTCTTAAATTCGTATTGAGATTTCTATTCCTCAGCATACTGTACTAATTTTTTTTACTGAAAGGTAATTAAGAAAGCTGACCTTGTCAGAAATTGATTTGATCTCCTGTGATTCCTAATTATTGATCATACTAGGTGTTGTGGATGGGATTCTGGATTTACTATCATTTGGACAGCTGTAGGTTTTCTACTTCTAAACCATGGTTTTAATGCAAAGTACATTATGCTTAAGGTTTACTTGGATGTCTTATAATTAGAAATTATGCAGAAATTTGTAACTCAAATCTCCATTTCTCTTAGAAACAGTTTTTCCAAGGACGATCAAAATGAAATGTTAACTTTTAACCAGATAAAAAGTATCCTTCGTTAGTGTAGAATCTTTTATTGAAAGTCAGATTTGTTTATGGTGAATGTATGCTTTGCAAATAAACACATAATAAATATTCGTTAGGAAAGATCTATTAGTTTATATAATAGTAAACCAGATTGAGTGCAATGAAATGGAATTACTTGTATGAGCTGTTTACAACTCTTGCCCCAAACTTTATCTTCTATATGCAGATAGGACAAGAATATAAAGTGAAAACCTCATAAAAATCCAAGTAAATTACTAATCCACAGAAGTATTTGTGCTGTAAACATGTCTGGAGTTGTAAGAGCCCTATAAAATAAGACAAACATCTGAAGAACTTAATTATATGTGCAAAAGGGAGGAAAGCGTTCATTCCAAGACACTGTGTTGGATGTAAATTAATGTGAAACAATAATTAGTTTTGCAGTAAAGCCTGCACCCAATCTACAATATATGCACATTTTTAGAATGGATTTATGGTTGCAGCTTCTTCACTCTCATTTGTGTAACTTGGTTAAAATGCAGTAGTAATCCACTAACCATTTCTGAAGCATAGTCTCTGTAACAGGCCATGATACTCTGGTCCAGGGGTGTCAAACTTGATTTTATTAAGGGCCGCATCAGGATTGTGCTTGACTTTGGGGGGTTGGGGTGGATGTGGCCAGGGTGGGCGTGGCCAGCTTGACATCACTTGTGTCGGGGGCGCCTGTGGTGGCCCAAGCGCTCTGCCAGTGAAAGCAGGCTCCTGAGTTCTAATGGCCTCCTGCAACCCTCTGCCAGTGAAAATGGAGCTTGAGAGGGCTGCACACTCCATTTTTGCTGGCAGAGGCACTGTGGGACGGTCCTTTGCTGTTTCCAGGGCGGCCCCGCGGGCCAGCTCTAAGCACTCCCAGCTTTTGACTTTGACACCTCTGCTCTGGTCCTTTAGGCAAAGCAACAATTCTGTCTTTCTCTGCTAGTTGTAATAAAGAGCACTTAAGACTAGGGAAGTCATTTGGGCACTTAAGATAAAACTATCACCCTCTCTGACAACAAATATGAAACTGAAGGGTAAATAATGTAAGATTTTCTGCTCTTCTATGGCACCCCCAAATCCACAGTCTCCATCCGATATCATTACTTATTTTGACCTTGGCAAAGTCATGATTGGTCTAAGGAAGAACTACAATGAAGTTTCAAAGCATTTAAAAATATTTATTCATACTGAATCTTTTTCTGAAGATACTTTTGGTTTGTAGGCTTTTTTACATCGCACATGACTTCAGAAACATTTCCGTTCTGAAATGAAATACTTTAAAGGTGAAAAGAAACAGGAAAATTAAGAGCATATGATGAAAAGAGTCATTATCATCCTGTTACAGACACAACCACAAATATCTTCCAAATTACAGCAGAATAGTGAGTATCTCCAGGTAAATTTTCCCCAAATTAAGTGGACAACCTGTACAAATAGAAGGTTATATACCATGGTCCTCAATGAATGAATTCTAGTATAAATACATGAAGACTGAGTCCCAATATTACATACTCCAGATGTGTTTCAATGCAACTCCCATTATTGCAGCCAGGAACACTTCGGGAAAAATGATTTACTGCCACCTCTATGTTGTAATCTACAGATATAATAAATGGCAGAAATGGATTGGCCTATTGCATCTCTCTTAATCCAGATGCTGGATTCGTTTGCAGCAACAACTTCGACCAGACCTTCAGGTGAAAAAGACAGCTGGTGGAAATGGTGCAGATAAATTAACAGAATTCTGCATGTATTCAGTTGGACAAATGCCACATTTCCTGCCTTATTATCTCATAAAGCCATAAAGCAAGACAAATGAGGATTTCTTACCTAGTTTTCCCTCCACTTAAAATTTAGGACTTGGACACACACAAGCACATCTACACATACACCCACACACACGCACACACAGAGGGCAGCAGTTCTGTGAAATAAGGGACAAGAAGATGAACTATTGGGAAAATATCTCACACATACAAATTAGAGAGAAAGAGAAGGCTCAGCCTCATTTCATCTCTGAAATTATCATGGAGGACGGGTTTGAGCTTAAACATACATTCCTTGTCTTTAGGATCAAATTCTCCCTACAGTTCTTTCATTGTAGAAGACAGAATTAGGCCTCCTTTTATCCTCCAGATCTAATTGTACTGACAAGACTCCTAGAGCAGGGGTGTCCTGCTCGCAGAATTCCATGGCTAGCTGAGGAATCCTGGGAGTTGAAGTCCAACAGGTCTTAAAGTTGCCAAGGTTGGACTCCCCTGTCCTAGAGAGTATTAGATTGCAAAAGACTGCTGTGAACAACTATCAAGGCAAAATGGCTGCATTTTAGCTGACCAAACAATCTTCCTTTCCCTTTTTGTCTCTTCCCTCAAGATTATTCCCTCCCTGTCTCATCTGGTGCGAAACAACTTTTTTTTGTGCCATGGGAATAAACTCACTGTAATTGCAATCACAGCCAGTTCTCAAGGGAAACATTAAAGGAGTCATTTAATTTTAGCTCCCTGGCCCAAGTTTTCTTTACATAACCTGCCATTAGGAGTTCTAGCACAAAGTAGATCAACTTAATGAGAGACAACCTATAAATATCTATGGAGGGGGAAGAGAGCGGATAAGGAGTGATGGTGAAAATGTTCTATGGAGAATCCAAGTTCCTGAGATGTTTTTCTCCATAAAATAGTCCAAAACATGTCATTTTAAGTTGAATATATATTTCCCATCCACCCTAAATGGCTGACATCTCTAAATGCTATACCTGTTATTTAAAGGGTGAAGCCTATTTCAACATAGCCCTCTTCTAGACAAATAATTTAAAAAGCAATTAGGGAATTTATAGTCTTAATGAGGGACAGCTTTTTTTATAAGGAAGGAATGTCTCCCCATACTTAAATTATAGTAGCACACATTGTGATAAAAATATTTTGTCACAGCAGAGGAAAAGAATCTGAGAAAGATGAAAAGAAGAAGCTACTGATTCTCAAGGCAAAATTAAGGCAATTCAGTCAGAGTCTTCATCATCAAGATATTCTTCTGCATTGCTTGATGATCGCATTATGTCTAGGAAAAAGGAAACAAATATAAAATGATCAGTTTTGAGCTAGGCTGATGTTTTAGAATGTACCTCCCTTTATTTTAACTTCTGGTTAAGCTACGTTTCTCACATTTCAAATATAACTCTATATTCTTAGAATAATTCCCGGTATATTTCAAGCATTCTCCCTCATCATTGCTTGTTTTTAACTTTACTTGAGGATTATATGTTTTTTATATGGTTTTATAAGCTTTTCTATATGTTTTGATATTGTATTCTGGGTTTTTTGTCTTGTTTTTAATTGCAAACCATTCAGAATTATGTACTTGAGATGGGCATATATAAATGCCCATCTGTATATGGGCATATATAAATGCCCAGCAATAGAAAATGAATGAATGAATAAATAAATGAATGAATGATGAATTGGCATTACGTTGATCAAGGCTTTTACAGATTGTACATTTTTTTCTTCCCTGGAGGCTTGTATTTTTGAGGGGAAAAAAGAAAGATGAACTACTCTTGTATTCAAGGATAGCCATTAACCCAGTCATATTTCCTTGGCAGTAATTGTAGCATGCAATCACAATCACCCACACCAGTCAAAAGTCTACATTTTGGGGAATGGAGTATTATCACTTGCTTTCTCCAATCCTGCTTGGTGTCCTATTAGCCTCTGTGTCATGATATTATTAACACTCTGTTGTTATGTTGTTGGCTCTTTTCCCATTGTCCAGGAAAATGGTAGTTAAATCCATCTGTGTTTGGAAATTGGACTCTGTGCTGCAGATTTGAGTAGTGAGGGATGTAATGGAGAGGTTTCTCATTGTCTCCAGGTCTTCTTAGATAGACAATGGATTGGATGGAGTTTGGAAATTGCCTAACAGTTCACTGGTTTGGGGATTCACATGATGAGCTTGCCTGAGGGAAAGTAATTTAACTCCCACTTCAAATCTATTGCTGAGCACATTGTAAGCCGCCCTGAGTCTTCGGAGAAGGGCGGCATATAAATCAAATTAAAAAAAAAAATATCTCAGGGTCTTTTGGGACAAGACTAGTTATTTCCTATTGCATTACTGACTGGAATTAGGTATTGCCATGACATGCAAACCCTAGTTAAGAGTAGAAATTGTTTAGTCTATCTTCTCTTGGGGTAGCCATCTGTCTACTGAAGCCTTCAGGTGCTTGGAGCAGTCTAATTGTCCTGGGAGAATAAATGCAAAAAAAGTTAAATCTTACCTTGCCCTTGTTTCTTTTTAAGCAAGGAAGCACAAGCAGCATTGGTAGCCATGTCGAAAGCCAGTTTTTTCTCATTGTTTCTTAAGTCTGTCCTGGCCCCTTGATAAAAACAGAATGCAGGACAACACTGTCCTAAGTTTGGTCAAAGAAACAAATTCCTCTCATCTTACTTCTTATATAAAACCTGAACTAGCTTCCCCTCAAATCTGAGGTACGTAAAGCTTTCATCATAGAAATGAAATGGTATTTATAGAACGCGACCTCTCTAGGTTCAATAAAGAAGCATGACTGAAAATATTTTTACTGTTTAACTTAAGTTCAGACTCATGTTTAACTTAAGTTCAGTGTCGTTATGAGGACAGAGGTTGTATTTTAAAACACAAATGTCTTGGTAAACAGAGATCCAAAATGTGGGTATGCTGAGAAACACAGTACCTTTTCCTAGCAAAATTTCTACAATATCTTCATAACCTTTCCATGCAGCAGCATGCAGAGCTGTGTCTCCTAGTTTATTCTGTGAAAGGAGAACAAAAGTAACCTTAAAAGTTGGAAGGAAACAGTTCTGATCATTTCAATTGCAACCTGCTACATTACTGCAAAACAATTCTTCAAAGCCACTCAGTGTATCATTCCCTACCTGTTGGTTTAGTTCTACCTTTGGCTGTGTCAATAACACTTCCACGATGTCTACACCAAATGAAGAAAAAAAAAAAAATGGAAAACTTCATGAGAAATTAGGAAAGCCAAGACTTTGAATTAATCAGCAAAAAGGCCCACTTTTTCATTTTTAGAATTGGGAAAATTAACTGGAAAAGACTCCAATAATAATTGGGCTCACTAACTCAATAAATGAAAAATCTAGAAAAGATTACCCTTTGATTTAATTATAATTATAATTTTGTTTTTTTTTAAAGGGTAAGAAAGTCAAATTGTACTTCCCAATTCAATATGTGAACAACATTTTTCATTTGTCTAAATTTTGTAATCCAGTCAAAACAGACACCCAAAATTTGTGGATGTATTTCACATTAAATCTCCCTTCCCCCACCACTCTCCCTCCCTCCCTCCCTCTCCATCTCTCTCTCTCACATACAAAAACCCTTTCTCTTTCCCTTTCTCTCTCAATTACTCTTTCTCTCCCTTCCTCCTCTTTTTCTCTCTGGTATTTATTAACGAAAATTCTAAGCATAGAAAATGGCATGCCAGAGTGAATAGAAATAAATTTGAAAAAATACATATGCAAGTAGAATATGGATACAACTGTTTTTACAAAATGAAGGATAAAATTGGCTTTAATGTTGAAAACAATTAGGCTCAGAAATTGAAAATAATTTCTCTACCTTTATGTCCACCATGAGATGCCCAATACAAGGCAGTACTTCCAGCTTTATCTAATCCATTGACACCAACTTTGTTATCCAAACATTCTCTCAACCAGCTCAAGTTTCCTGAAAAAGAAGAAAATATGTATTAAATATCAGATATAACATATCCAGAAACTGGCAGAAAAACAGTTGGAGACTATGGCTATACAAACATCTTGAGCTATGTAGGAAAAAACCCTGGCTAGAAAAGTATTATACATATGAACCTACAAATTAAAAGAACAAAATAAATAAATAAATAAATAAATACATACATACATACATACATACATATATGTGTGTGTTTTCTGAGGTTTTCGCGGGTGTTTGTATGTAGGTCTTTGGTTATTCGGGTTTTCTCCCGCGTAAAATTGGAGGTGTCTTGGCAACGTTGCCAAGACACCTCCAATTTTACGCGGGAGAAAACCCGAATAATATAGTAATCTATTTAATTTCTCCCTCCCTTCACACACACCCCTCTCATCTATCTACACAAGCACACAAGCATGCACATGCATGCACACACACACAGAAACACCAGAGGTGGTATTCAGCAGATTCTGACCAGTTCTGGAGAACTGATAGTGGAAATTTTGAGTAGTTCAGAGAACCAGAAATACCGCCTCTGACTGTACCCACCCCCATCTATTCTCTGCCTCCCAAGTCCCAGCTGATTGGGAGGAAATGGAGATTTTGCAGTAACTTTTCCCTGGAGTGGGGTTGAAATGGAGACTTTACAGTATCCTTCCCCTGCCATGCTCACCAAGTCACACCCACCAAGCCATGCCCACAAAACTGGTAGTAAAAATTTTTGAATCCCACCACAGAGACATACCCATACATTCACTCTTCTAGAAGGATGATAGTTATGTTTTGGGGCATAAAAGGAGGCTATACTGTATATCACATAGATAAAATATTAAGTATTTTATGCTTGAAAACAAAAGAATTTATCTAATGGAACCTACGTGTATGAATTGTTCGTATAATCAACAGTATATGCTTTGAATAATGCTAATGGAGAAGTCCATAGGAAAAAATCATAACCTTTCATTTCAGCAGGGCAAAAAAAATGAGGACAGCTGTTTTTCTACCTCAGTCAGTGACTAAAACATACATGGTTAGATACATCACAGTGTATGTCAGGGAAAATGGTAGCATTTCTGATATGCCTCCCAAGTTCAGACTCTTATCAACAGGGAATTACTTCATGGCAAAACAAAGTTGCCATTGAAGGCAGATTTCACAAGAGAACTTCCAACAGATGAAATGGACTGAGCAGTGGTGAAATCCAATTTTTTTAACTACCGGTTCTGTGGGCGTGGCTTGGTGGGCGTGGTGTGGCTTGGTGGGAGTGGCAGGGGAAGGATACTGCAAAATCTCCATTCCCTCCCCACTCCAGGGGAAGGATACTGCAAAATCCCCATTCCCTCCCCACTCCTGGGGGAAGGATACTGCAAAATCTCCATTCCCACCCCACTCTGGGGCCAGCCAGAGGTGGTATTTGCCGGTTCTCCGAACTGCTCAAAAGTTCTGCTACCGGTTCTCCAGAACCTGTCAGAACCTGTTGGATTTCACCCCTGGGACTGAAGTAAGAAACGGATCTATTCCAAAGCATTACAGTATTAATCAACATCTCTACAAATGTATCTGGAAATAAGTTTTTTGAAGTTTGTTCTAAATAAACCTGATGCATTGGCACTTTCAAATAAATTCCAATCATAAGACTTTAAATGCATTTTAAATGCAATACCTAATACCGTCCTTGTTTTGTTTCACTAGTTTATTTTTATTAGATATGTGTGTTCATGCTAAAAAAAACCTATTAATGCAAATTCGATTATATCACATCAGCTACCACATCAATTTGTTATAATAAGGAATTATTCAATACTATACATTAATATCAGAATAGTATTTGTTTCAATCAATATGTTTATAAAAACAAAATTAATTGGGTAAAATAAAGTTACACATTATATTCTCCTAACCTTTGACTATAGTAGGCTCTGGAATGGATACTTGTATTAACCAACCAAAGCTGCATTGCACTACTGCAACACAAGTACCACCTCTTTTGTAAGTACATCATGATGTCATGTACAAGAGGGGTAGAATATGAGTTGTGATGCAGGACACTGCTTTTTGATCATTTAGACAACGTCTCCAATCCTGGACATATTTCCAGATGTTGATGAAAGAAGTGATAGCCCCACACAGCTGCACAGCATCAGGTTGGACAAAGGTGCATCATAAACATGATGCACATTATCTGCCCCAAAATACAGACATAACAAGAGGGGGGAAAAAAGATTGCACATTTTTCTTTTGAACACAGAAAAGGATTAAAGTAAATCAGCTAATCCAATCTCTCTCCCACTTCCCACATCAAACACTTCTCATTCTCATACTATCCACCATTGTTTATCTGCCATAAAGGTGAAGATAAAGGTTTCCCCTGCCCAGTTGTTGTTCTGCCCCAGCTCTGGATTCCCGAGGATATTGATGTTGGATGTTTATCCTATGGTTGGGTAGGTAATATATAGAAAACTATGTCCTGTAACTTTAACTGCTACAAGATGACTAATTGGCTGTGCTAAGCAGACATAAAAGAAGGCAGGAAGTTCATTCACTTCTGCTCCTGCTATTAGAAGGTTGAACTGCTGAAAGGAACTGTGTCTGTGTTACTGAAGAGAACTGGAATTGTAAGCAAACTATGTTTTTGTGTTGAACTGTGATTATTTGAAGAAGTGTTATCTTTGTTTTGAGAAGCCAAGTTTGATTTTTTATTACAAGTAAAGACTTTATTTTTCTTTAAATGTTCAGAATCTGTGAGTATCTGTGTGTTTTGCTAAGCAACGTATCTATTCGCTGTCTGGTCCATTGCACCACTTTGCAGAGGGCAGTTTTACCCTCAACACTTGACTGACACACACCAATGGTCCTTATCAAATTTATTAAGTAGCAAGGATAAACAAGATCGGCAAAGGTTGGCAATCAGCCTAGAAAACAAGATACGATAAACCAAAATACTCTGATAATAAATACAAGTTGTTTCCAGCAAGAAAGCACTAGCTTAGGCTAAGGGAGTGGCCAATCATCCTCAAGCCCTACTCTCAAGTAGACCTCCTCCTCCTGAGTAGCCACTCCTGCCTTTTGGCAGCCTTGCGTGCCTGAGCATTGAGGAGAGGCTCCTCCACTTCGCTCTCTCCACTGGAAGGAGCCTCTGGAGGTTCTGAAGGCCCTGGCTGAGTCTCTGCCTCTGACATCACATCCTCTTCAGCCTCCTCACTGTCCGACGCGAAAGCTGGCTGTGCAGGCTGCTGGCGCGACACAACACCAGCCTCCTCCTCGTTGGTATCAGCCACAATCCGTGCAGGCTGCTGGCGGGCCACAACAGTTGTGTCCAACTTTAGGGGTGTTGCTCATCTCTATTTCCTAGTTGAGGGAGCTAGAGTTGTCTGAAGATGCTTCCATGGTCATGTGGCTGGCACGACTATATGCCGAAGCGCACAGACGCCGTTACCTTCTCACTGAGGGATCCCTATTTATCTACCTGCATTTGCATGCTTTTGAACTGATAGGTTTTGCAGGAACTGGGGCAGGAATAGTAGTACTTGGGTTTTGAGTACTCAAACCCCAAGTACTCAAGTAGTACTTGGGTTTTGAGCTGCCAATCTTCTGGTTGACAAGCACAGCATCATTATAGCATAAGTTATAGGGGAAATAATGCACACATTTGTTTCAACTCAGTCGCCCTCTAAAGATGGAGAGAAAAGAAGCAAAAACTTGTGTTGTTGAAAAGAAGCTCTTCAGCAGAATGTGTGATTTTAACAAACCCCAACAAATTGATCTGTTTCAGCCCAGAAATCAGATGAAGTCCTTCATCAATATTGACCTTACACCTACCTCTCTTGGCAGCTTCGTGTAATGGATTGTCAATGGATTCTGCTTGTTCAGCCACTAAAACAAAAGGAAAAAATACATGCCAATGTAGCCAGTTGTATTAATCTGTCTCTTAATGGGCTGAAGACAATAGCACTAATATATTAAAAGTCCATCAATAAACTTGAAACTTCTAATATTATGCCCCAAAGCTCCACTGAATTTCGATATCTTTAATGGAGTTCCTTGTAAGCAAGAAACTATTCATTTCACGGAGAGAAAAATGAACTATACCTGCAGTAGAACTGCACACCCAAAGCTTCTCTGATATTGAAAAACCTGGGAAGGTCCAACCCAGAACCTTGGGTACATAATAACATGTTCAGTGCATACAGAAAATGCTGATCTGTAGCTTATTGATTTATCTAAGAACACACAATTTGCTATGAAAAATTAGAAAGATGAACACACACACAATTGTACTGTCCTCTCTAAATATTCTGGGATATAGTTAAAATTGTTATTCGATTAAAAAAAACGAGTGATTGCAGTATACTGCAATAAAAGTGAATACATTTGTATTTAAAGCAGGGGTGTGGAGCTTCCTTTGAACTAATGGTCTATGTCAGGGCTTCCCAACCTTGGCAATTTTAAGACCCATGGACTTCAACTCCCAGAATTCTCTAGTCAGCCTTGCAGTTTTTGAGTGTTGTGCCAGGAATGGCATTCCCCCATTCTAAAAAAAGAAAATGAATAAAGCTGGGAAAAATCTCAAATTTGATTTGATTTAATTCACATTTAGTTTAAATGCACTATATAATATAAATTCTTCATCCTTTATCATTTGAGAATGTTCCCTTTTTGTCATCTTCACACTGCACCTGGATAACAATTTTGAGATTTTGTGGGGTTGATATCCAAGGCTTTGGGCCTCATTTAGGGCTTATCTTGATCCTACAACAGACATTTAATTAAAATACTATGATAATAAGAACACAAAAATAACAGAAGTGTGAGATTCAGTTCAATTATTGTTCACAATTTGGAAAATAAGTCCCATGTTTTGAGCATTTATACACCTCAAAAGGATGAGAGTAGTTCTAGCTATTGAATGCAGAAATGGGATTTAAAGCATGAAGTTTATGCATATGCTATGGGAATCTGCACGGGACAGATTGATATGGTGTTTTACACACTCTGCCCTTTTGTAGCAAAATAAAAAAATACATATTTTTCTGATACCAGACAAGAACACTACAAAATGCAGAAGGCTTTTTCCTTGCCCCATCTCTTGCCAAATTCGAATATGACACAAAACTGAGTAGGACAGCTGATATTGCTGAAGACATTCAAAACTTTCAAGATGGATTAGAGAAATGGACTGGAAAATTATTTTGAATTTTAACAAGACACCAATGCTAAATTCTTCATATAAGTGCATAGGCATAAGCTATGGGACACTGACTTGGTAATGAATGGTTATAAAAAAAAAATTTGGAACAGGAGTTGAATTCAAGCTGAATATGAGTCAGCAGGGCAATGTAACTGCTTAGATGTTCAGATAACATCAACCAGAATTTCCAAATCAAAGGAAATCACTTCTTTCACATGGTCTGCACTGGTCAGACCACAAATGAGTACTGCATACAATTGTCTGCACTATATTTCAACAACAATTTTAGAGAAACCAGAAGAGTCAATATAGAGCATAGGAATGATCCCAGAGTTAGAAACCTGAATTTTGTGAGGTGAGACTGAGACTAGTGTGTATGTTTAGCTTTTGAAATAAAGACAACTGAAGTGAAGATATTATAGCAGTTTTCAAGTATCTAAGGATTGCCACACATAACACTTTCAAGATCTAGAGTGCTGGTAATAATAGGTCTTACTTTCTAAGTTGCTAAAATTAAGAGCAGTTTGATTTTTGAAGGTCAAAGCATTTCAGGTAACAATTGTCAGACCGTTTCTAACATATTGTAATTTAATGCTTGTATGAGTTAAGAAGCATAGCAGCAGCTATATCCCTTACTCAAACTTGCTTAGTTATGATGGTTTCAAGAGTCAAATCAACAAAGAGAGCTTGGATATGGTGAATCACACAATAGAATGCATTCTTGAAGCAGCTCTTCATAATCTGTCCAGGCTTGTTTCTGAACATCTTTTGAATCTAGGAGATGGTTTGTAACTGCTGAGGATAAGAGAAATATGAATATCTTTGTGGCATAAGCAGAATTCATCATCCAACATTTGGATCCCAGCCAAAGGGTTCAATGGGCTGGGAACAGTCTAGGAATCTTGATTTCTCAGAAATTCTCATTCAGAGCTATAGTCTACCAGGCCTCTTTTGAGAATCACTGTTAATTTGTTCAGAGTTTAAGCATATATACAAAGTCATCCTGGATTGGTCATCTCAGAACAAAATGTCTCTATGTTCAACTTTTCAACAGCTCCCCTTTCTGATCTGTGAATACTGACTTTTAATATTGCACAGGACATCCTTAACAAGACTTCAAAATTATAGCAGAGATTTCTATAATACGAAGGGTGCTATGGTAAAATGGTTACCACAATCAGAAAGCAAATTTTCTAAAGATAAATTGTTGAACTAAAAAAAGATCAATAATCTAAATTTAAGGGAGAAGCTAAGCAAAGCAAGGGCCAAGAAACTTGGCCAACAGAGTATAACGTTCCTAATGTATCTTGTTGTTCAGAATCCCAGTTTTAATTCTACTCACAGATGTACCTGAAAAGCGCATTATTCTTCTTATGGTTGGTCAGATAGTTAGCCAGATGTTTAGACTGAATATAGCACTTTTATTCACCTACTGGGTCCTTCCCAAGGACCTGGGATAGGCAGGTGCTGTTGTCTGATGGTGTTAAAGGATCATTATTTTTATTTTGCTTCACAACTATCTCTCGGAACACAATTCACGAAATTACCATAGTTGCTGGGGATTAGTCCAGTTCTTCCTTTACAGGTTCCTTTCCACCAATTTGTGTCACTCTGGAGGAAAAAGAAATCAGTGCTGAAAAAGGCAACTGGGAGTTCAATGGTCACTTTATTCTCTTAAGGAGAGAGTGGTTTAGTGGCTTTGTTTATCAACTCACCATATCAGAAATGTAGATAATGTCTCCTTCTTCAAAATACAGTTCATCTGGCTGGAGTAATAAATACACTGCATTAGTTAAAAAATTGTCTTAAACTACATGACATTTTTTTCAGTGACAATTCCAACTCCAATCCTTGCATCCCAAATCAAAAATTGCAATTGTGCATCATAGTAAGCATGGTTTAGCCCTGTCCTTTCAGAGGACAATATCCCCACAATCCATCTGCTAGCTAGTACGTCCTCTTTGGGTTTTTTCCTGGAAAGAAATAGTGCAAAAGGGCTTCAGATTCCACTTATCTGCCTATCAGCACGATTTTCACTGAAAAACTGAATAGAACTAAATTATATTGGGTGGAGTGGGGGGATGGGGACAAGCAAGCAAATGAAAAACTGAGTTCCAAAAAAGCTTAGATCTGGCTGAGGGAAGAGAAAAAAAAATCACCCAATTGTTGGACGCAAGTCCGTTCTAAAATGTTACCACTCCTCCCTCCTAGTTACAAGACAGATTTGATCGAATTACATCATAACAGAGTTGGAGGGGGCCTTGGAGGTCATCTAGTCCAACCCCCTGCTCACGCAGGAGAGACCTGTATAGGGATTTGAACTGCTGAAGTTTCTGATCGACAAGCTCAGTGTCTTAGCCACTGAGCCACCTAGCCAGGCTTTTTTAAATACCATTTCAGACAAATGGTTGTCCAATCTCTTATTAAAAACTTTCAGTGATGGAGAACCCACAACTTCTGAAGGAAAGCCATTCCACTGATTAATTGATTCCATTGTCAGGAAATTTCTCCTTATTTCTAGGTTGGTTCTCTCCTTGATCAGTTTCCATCCATTTTGTCCTGCCTTCAGGTGCTTTGGAGAATAGGTTGGCCCCCTCTTTTTTTGAGGCAACACCTTAGAAATTGGACTAATGCTAGAACACCAGTCCTAGTTCTTCTTTTCATTGTTTTAATGTTTTAATGTTTTAATGTCTTCTTTTAACTTTTATATGGGATATTGTTGCATTGTTTTATTCTCTGTTGTAAACTGCCCAGAGTCCCTTGGGAGTTGGGCGACATAGAAATGCGACAAAATAAATAATAAATAATTAAACCCAGAGTGGTGATATTTTATTTCATCATATTAATTTTTTAAGTATTACTACATTTCACTTGAACTCATAGCAATGTACAACAACAATACAAAGTAATTGTAAAAACCTCTTTGCCTTTGATTCCAAATGTGCACACCCACACCCACTCAATGCCTATGTACCCAATCCAATCCCATATTTTCAGAAACACACACATGCTCACATATCCCACATATTGAGGGAAAAAATATATTGTATTCATATTGTAATTACTGTCCTTCCATTTGGGATACAGCAACAAAATGAGAATTCTGTTGTCTCCTGCTGCCATCTACTGATTATTGATGGAAAAATACAGTACAACAGAAGAGTAAAAACTGCACTTGAATCAAACTGAAATACCAAATGCTCCTTCTTTTTATTGATCTATTGATGCTGAAAAATGGCTATGTCATTGTGCTGAAGCTGGAACCAAGTACAAGAATGAATGTTGATGATGTGGCTTTTGCTGCAGAGCAACCGTAGGAAGAAGGTAATGTAAAATACTAGTACCGCTTTATACTACACTGGTAAGACCATACTTGGAATCATTCAATCATTGGTCATTTCAATACAAAAAAGATGTTGAAACTCTAGAAAGAGTGCAGAGAAAAGCAACAAAGGGACTGGAGTAAAAGCATACAATGAACATTTGCCTTGGTAGTACAGTGGTCTAAAGCACCCTGTTATTAAGACCAGCTGCCTGCAATTACTGCAGGTTCGAATCTCGCCAGGCTCAAGGTTGACTCAGCCTTCCATCCTTTCTAAGGTAGGTAAATTGAGGACCCAGTTGTGGGGGCAATAAGCTGACTTTGTATAAATATATAAAAGGATGAAGGCTATTGCTTAGCGCATTGTAAGCCGCCCTTAGTCTCTGGAGAAGGGCGGCATATAAATCAAATTTTTTTAAAAAAATTGTGGCAATTGGCTGTGTCTAATCTAACAAAGGACTGGGGATGAGTCTTCCAATATTTGAGGAGCTGTCAGAGAGAAGAAGAGTCAACCTATTCTACAAAGCTTCTGAGGGCAGGACAAGAACTAATGGATGGAAGTTTATCAAAGAGAGATCCAACTTAGAATCAAGGAGAAATTTCCTGACAGTGGAATCAATTAATCAAGGGAATGGTTGTCTCAGAAGTTGTGAATGCTCCATCACTGGAGGTTTTTAAGAAGAGATTGGACAGGTATATGGTTTCCTGCTTGAGCAATAGGTTGGATTAGAAAACCTCCAAGGTCCCTTCCAACTCAGTTATTCTAGAGCAGGGATTCATAACTAAAGGATTGAACATCTGCACTGCTGTTGTAATCAGAATAAGAGGCCACAGACTTGTGTCATGTGCTAATCAGTCTGCAACTTTCGTATCTATCTGAGTGAAAACATTTTGAGAGTGGGGCTGTCAAAAACATTCTCAGTCTGCCTTTGAGTCATCCCCAGCCATTCTTTCACCATCCCTCTCTCCACCGTCATTCACACACAGCCAATAACAAACCCTCAAGGCAGTCATATAATGAGATCACAGAAATGGCTAATGGCTCTCCAACACTATTTGCGATCTGCTGCAGTTTAGATGCATCTGTTGAGTCTCTTGAATTATAGATACATAGGAAAGGGATTTATAGGGGCCAGGGAGGATCTGCATTTCCCTGAACCAGGGGTCAGCAACCTGCGGCTCCGGAGCCACATGTGGCTCTTTGGGCCCTCTGCTGTGGCTCCCTGTCGGGTGATCCCACCACTGGCTGGCCCCGCCCCTCGCCCTCCCCTCCCAGTCACTCCTTGCCTGGCCTGAGAAGGTAAGGGCGACAGCGGGGGATGGAAAAGCATCCAGGGCAGAGACAGAGAACTACAAAAAGAGGGTGAGAGAGACATAGAGAGATATAGCGAGAGAGGGAGAAAGAGGGGGGAGGGAGGGGAGAGAGAGATATGTCAAAAGGGTTTTGTGGTTCCCAGTGTTTTTTAACAACTGGTTGTCTGCCCTAATAACCGGTTGCGTAGGGGGTCGTGGCGGAAATGAGTGACATCGAGTTGGCCATGCCCACCCAGGTTTTGTGGCTCCTGATGTTTTCTTTTCTGTGGGAAACGGGTCCAAATGGCTCTTTGAGTGCTTAAGGTTGCAGACCCCTGCCCTAGACTAGGAGCTAGTTCTCTGGTTTTGTGGTGAGAGGTAAAAATGCTTATTGGTTTTGCAGTTCTTCCTCAGGAGCTTGGACAAAACGAGAAGGATCTGCATGCAAATACCAGACTAGTGAATCAGTAGTATTGTAAGGAGTAAAAATAAGTGTATTATTACAGAGTAGAAATATGGTTTTGAGCATACATGTGATTTATTTTTAATGTATTAGTTCCTTGTTAAGTAAAAGGAAGAAAAACAAGGGAAAATAAAAGAGAGCATGGGGCAGAATAATTTAATGGTCAATGAGATAGGCAATCACCCAAATAATCTTATTTACAAATTTTACTTCAAACTGGGGCCTTGCCGAGCAGTTTACTAGTCAACATTTGCTATCTTGTTTCTAAGTTAGCCTAAAGTTTAGCGAAAGCTTAATGGAGAACTTGTAAAATGCAGGATCCTACAAGGCTTGAGCGGAACTGAAGTAACTATGTTCTTATAGACAGCTCATTGATTCAGTTTACTTGATTAGATTTTGGTGCATGTGGGTGTGTGGGTAGGTAGTTTAGAGAAGTAAAATAAGAAAAAAAAATGAAGTGGGAGTTTACATTTTAATGTACCAGTGGTACAGCATATATACAGGACGCTGGCAGAGATTCAGAAAGGGATAGTAATGTAAAGGCTGTAGCCTTCACGAAAAGGTAATGGCTGGGCTTTATCTCAGATCCTGACTTGAGGATCTGAGATAAAATCTACTTATTATCTTCTCTTGAAGGCTACAGCCTTTGCATTCCCCAGCAAAGCTGGCTGGGGAATTCTGGGAGTTGAAGTCTGCCAGGCTTAAAATTGACAAGGTTGGAGACCCCTGGGCTAGTGCACATACAGACAGTGTAATGAAGAAATGGGGAATTTAGGGGCAAGATTAGTGGGGAAATCCAATTTTTTTTACTACTGGTTCTGTGGACATGGCTTGGTGGGCATGGCAGGGGAAGGATACTGCAAAATTTCCATTCTCACACCACTCCAGGGAAAGGATACTGCAAAAATCCCCATTCCCTCCCCACTCCTGGGGGAAGGATATTGCAAAATCTTCATTCCCACCCCACTCTGGGGCCAGCCAGAGGTGGTATTTGCCGGTTCTCCAAACTACTCAAAATTTCCACTACCGGTTCTCTGAACTGCTCAAAATTTCTGCTACCGGTTCTCCAGAACCTGTCAGAACCTGCTGGATTTCACCCCTGGGCAAGATCACTTGCTCAGCTTAAAGCTTAATGAAAGCCTTTAAAAGTTTACTTTAAACTTATTTGGGGAAAAATAGCCTTCATTCACAACCACAACTAGAAATGCTGCCCATTTTATTCTTACAAAAGAATAAAATCTCTTTTTATTCTCAAACATGACACCCAGATTCAGGACGGATACTTTTGTCAAAGGTTTCTATCAGAAAAAGCAGCAGAGAAAAATAATCAAACAATTGTGCTCTCACGCTGCAAACTCTGTTCCGTTTGTATGGCTGTTGTGATGTCACACACAAATATGGAAGGGACAGACCTTTCGTTGCCACGCCCATTCTGTAATTTGGATGAAATGGTCAAATGCTTAGCTTTATTCCTGGGATAGCTTCAGCCCTGGTAGTATTGAGGAGTCCCATCCAAGTACTAACTAAACCTAATCCTACTTAGCTTTCAATCCCAGACAATATCAACTAAATCAGAGGTCTTCAAATTTGGCAGCTATAAGATTTATGGACTTCAACTCCCAGAATTCTCCAGACAGCATAGCTATGCAGGCTGAGAATTCTGGGAGTTGAAGTCCATAAGTCTTACAGCTGCCAAGTTTGAAGACCTCCGAGCTAAACGATGGCCCTGCTGAGATGAAATGATGAAATAACAGCTAAGAGAATATTACTTTTACAATTTACTCAAGGCACAACAAAGGCTCAGAAAATATGCACAAGACAGTGTAATAAAAGATTTAAACATCTTGCAAGCAAAAGTTGTATCTTTCACCCCGATACTTTATATAATTGACAGGAACAAACAAGCAGAAGCCTAATCTATTCTTGGTCTCTCTAAGGTGCATCAAAAGTGAGCGATGAGGCTTAGATTCTTTCGTAATCCTCTAAATTCCAGATTTCTAAATGTCACGGGTTAAACTCAATGACACAGAGGAAAGACAGACATTGGGAAAAACAAGATCCAAGACATGATGTAACTGAGCACGATAGCAGACTAGCAATTTTCGTAAGATTACAGAAATTGATTGATTTAAAACATTAGCATACTATTCACCATTGCAAAATTTCAGCGAGGTTACCCTACAATTCAAATCGTGAGAACAGTTAGGTTAAAATAACCTCGGAACTTTGTATAAAATCAAGAGATAAATGCAGAGAGAGGAGGTGGACACAAACATTGTTTAAAAAGAATTTCTTCTTAATTCTTAGTGGTTACAAATGCCGCTTGCAATCATGAGCCACTTCCTGTTATACTTCTCTCAGCCGTTTTGAGCTGTTTGCTCAGGAATGACTGGATCAGTTGGCAGGATTTGCACAATCAAGGCCTGAACCACATGCCAGAATATGATTTAGCAATGAAAAGGCTGAGCCGTCCACTTTAAACTATACAACATGGCACCCATTTTTATCTGGAAGCCAAAGCACAATCTGCAGGTCATGTGATGAAGTTCTCGGTAAATATGAATGATGAACAAACACCAAATTTTAATCTAAAAAATTAAAAATGGAATGATATTTCATCTCCACAGGGGATATACCCATACTCCTTCCTGTGTTTTCATGTTCACAAAAAATAGACTGGACCAAGTTATCCCTCGATATTCAAATTTTCTTATGTATCTTTAAAAAGTAGAAATATACTTACTGTTCTGGGTTCAAATGTATATAAGGCTCGAAAAACTTTTACCTGCCCTAAAATACAGAAAGAAATAAGTATTAACCAGAGAATATTTCTCCTTGACAGAGTTGACAAACAGAGTCTGGATTCCTATTTTTCTTCCTTTTTCCTTGTAGTATTAAGCTGTATGAAAGCTTACATGACTTTCATTTCTTCTAGACCCTAGAGGGGAAAAACCCAGAAAATTGTGCTAATGCTCATTATTTTCTACTAAAGTGTAACAGTGTGATTCTCTGTGGACTAGAAACATGGCATTTGGAGCCTATATGATTGAGCACTTCGGATTGATCAATATGGCCCCCAAGCAAACAACAATACTAGTTTAACTGCAGGAATTCTATGGTTATTCAGTATGGTATAATATTAGGGGCATTTATAGATGACAACTGATTTTGGATAGCCCTTAAAAATAGGGAGAAAATCTACAAGTCAACACTGACCCAATAGCTCATGATCATCATGTTAAAAACAGGGGTGTACTGGCCATCTTATCTGCCAACTTAAGAATCTGTATGGTGACCAGGAAGCAACAGTTAGAATGGATTAAGGACCTATTTAAAAATTGGGAAAGTTGGGAAAGTATATAACAGAATCGCATATGGTCCCCTCATGTATTTAACCTGTGCAAAATATATCCTAAGAAATGCTAGAGAACAAGAAATAGATATAAAAACCTACTTTTATGTCAAAAAACAAAATTAACTCAATGCAAACAAGCTACTTGGAAGAAAGAATATGACAGATCTACATAAATATTAAAATGTAGAGGCATCAAACAGACAATAAAGGTACTATATACTAGCAGAAGCTGAAAATTTCAGGTACCAAAATGCATCCTAAAAATTGGCTTTGGTTTATCTGTGGATGGGCTTCTCTATGAATATGTGTGTGTATTATGTATGTATGTATGCATATGTATGTATGCATGCACACACACACACACACATGGTAATATTCTTTTAAAATATTCATATATCCCATTGATGGGGATATATAAGCCCATCTGCAGTTAAGCTGACTCTCAATACCATGAAAAATATATAATTTTAGTTTACCACGGATAAGTCAATTGTGAAAATTACAACATAAAACATTTTGAGGTTTAGTTTCATTTTTAATGGTATTTTAAAAATTCAAAAGTTGGCTTATTGTGGATGGGCTTATATGAGATTATACAGGGTAAATCAAGGCTATGATTTTCTCACTTGTCACATATAGCTGTGAAAGCTGAACCACCAGAAAGAAAATTTGCTTTTTTAAAATTGTGCTACTGCAAAAAAATAGTTGAGAGTACTTTGGACTACAAGAACAACATTTGATTAAAAAAAATAGCAACAATATGCCAAATACAATCATTTTCTTTCTTTGGGACTTTTTATTTCCTCTATCTGCATTCTTGGATAAATCTATGACAAATATAACTGCCCCAATTGCTTTAGCTTCTAATTATAACTAATTTGTACTGGATGGTGGGTACTAGTCTACTCAAATCACCAAAAGATAGCCAGTGATCTGTCTGGGCCGTTCTACCCAATTGAGATGGTATAACATCTAACAATTAGGTTTTACTCTTAGTTCTTCTCAAATAACATTATATTTAAAAGAGCAAGAACAATATGTTTTATTGGTGGATCTTAGGGACAAACTAGATGGTATTACAAATCTCAATGTTTGTTTTCCATTCATACAAACAGCAGAGGTGTACAAACGGTATAGAGAATAAGCCATCAAGAGGCACCATGCAACATCAGAACAAGGAAGCCCCTATTATCTGACAGTAAATATCTTGAAATACTAGTACAAGTGTGATAAAGTGTTAATATGTAAGGCGTGCTATTATTTTCACTCTTTTCATCAACATAGAAAACTCATGAGGGAGAAAATTAATCTCCAATTATTTCTGTGTTTTCTTCTGCTTATGTCAACGGGAACCACAAATGATGTATTGTAGTCTGTTTTCTTTGGGATTTTGCTGCAGTGCAGATTTCTTGAAAGAGCATGTCCAGGCAAAAAGTGGTTATATTGATTTTAAATCCATTTCTTAATAGCTTGCTTTAAAAACGTTAACTCCTGCACAAAGTTCGTAATTTTTTTAAAAAAACCCAGCATTTGGAAATCACCAGCAGAGATGGGATCATCGCAATTAGCCTCTACTCTTCCAAAATCTTTTTAAAAACATAATTTTTATGTTCTCTCAAACAATTTCGGGGAAAAACTAAATAAATTATTCTTTTTATCAAAAATAAAATATTTTAATTATAATATAAAGGGAAATAGCCCTTTAAAATGATCTGAGATTATTTCGGTGGAAGAATTTTATGTTGACTGCTTTCAACTAAACACTAAAGCTTTCTGAATAATAGGCGATTGTTCTTGAACACTAGAGCTTTTCTTCGACTTACTCATTTTCTTCAACTCTGCCCTTTATGATAACTTATTCATTATATAAAACCTCATTCTTGAGCGATCATCAAATTTACTGGACTGCTATTCCCTCTTTATGAAAAGAAGGACTAGGGATGACATGATAGCAGTGTTCCGATATCTCAGGGGTTGCCACAAAGAAGAGGGAGTCAAGCTATTCTCTAAAGCACCTGAAGGCAGGACAAGAAGCAATGGGTGGAAACTAATCAAGGAGAGAAGCAACCTAGAACTAAGAAGAAATTTCCTGACAGTTAGAACGATTAATCAGTTGAACAACTTGCCTCCAGAAGTTGTGAATTCTCCAACACTGGAAGTTTTAAAGAAGAGATTGGACAACCGTTTGTCTGAAGTGGTATAGGATTTCTTGCCTGAGCATGGGGTTGAACTATTCTATTCTATTCTATTCTATTCTATTCTATTCTATTCTATTCTATTCTATTCTATTCTATTCTATTCCTCAACCATACAAAGTGTAGTTAGTTTTATAAATTATATTTAGTTTAGTACTAAATTTAGTTTAAATTTAAATTTAGTACTAAATTTAGTTTACTAAACTAAACATACTTTATATATTTTATTTTCTATTTTTATGCAAAGTTGGCATTTTTATATTGTTTCCATTTATTAAAGTGCTACTGCCACTTATTCACTCTCCTGCTTTGCACACCAAAACAACACATGCTTACACATTTTTAATTTCGAAGGAGGACATGTTTCCAATACTAAATAGGAGGACCTGAAATTGCCTTTCTGTTATAAGTTAAAAAAAAACAAACAAACCTCATTGTGAAGAATGTATTTTCACTTCAGAAATACATTAGAACTACAGTACTGCAATTGGTAACATGATCATTCAACTGAATACGAGGAGATGTGGCTGTCTCATACATAGCAAGCCTCTATTGTGGCAAAGTAGCTGATGAATCTGGGGGGTCATACTTAGATGTACTGTTCTTCTTTTATAAAGCTGTGAAATACCCTTTATAAGTTCCTATAAAATAAGGATTGAGATTTATTTTATGTACAGCTGTTGGGGTACAATTCTTTCTTTCAATATGGCAAAGTGCTATTTTATTATTCACGGAACTCGCTATGACTTGATTGCAGTGGTAATGCAACTGAACCTATTTCGTTTTTGTTTATATATGATATTTAGTATGTATTTTACTTGTGGAATTCTGACCACCACAAAGTTTTGTATTGCTGTGCTGTTGTGTACATAAAGCTTATGTACAAGTAGTCCTCGAGTTACAACAGTTCATTTAGTGAATGTTTGAAGTTACAACACCTCTCAAAAAAGCGACTTATGACCGTTTTTCACACTTGTGACTGTTGCAGTATCCCCATGGTCACATGATCAAAATACAGGCGGTTGGCAACTGACTCATATTTATGACGCTTGCGGTATCCTGGGATCCTTCTGAGACCTGCTGACAAGCGAAGTCAATTGGGAAGCCAGATTCACTTAACAATCATGTTACTAACTTAACAACTGCAGTGATTCACAGTAAATCTGGCTTCCCAATTGACTTCGCTTGTCAGAAAGTCACAAAAGGATCCCAGGATACTGCAACATGATTCATTTAACAACTGTGACACGTAAGGATATAAAATGGGACAAAACTCACTTAACAACTACTGTATTTTTTGGACTATAAGTCGCACCAGTATATAAGATGCACCAAGATTTCGAAGAGGTAAGTAAGGAAAAAAAAGCTTTTGCTTTCCCTGGCCCTAGGAGCAGGCCTCCCAAATCCTCTACACGCCCCATTTTTTGCAAAAAAGGGCCCTTTTTTTGCCCGTTTTTGTGAAAAACGGGGTGCGCAGAGGGTTTGTGAATGCTCCTCGGGTCTGGGGGAGGGCAAAAACGTGCCTGTTTTTGCAAAAAATAGGTGAAAAACAGGCCCCTAGGAGCAGTCTGCAGGCCTCCCAAACCTTCTGTGCACCCCGTTTTTGTGAAAAACAGGCCCATTTTTACAAAAATGGGATGAGCGGGATGGGGCTTCGGGAGGCCAAAAATGGCTGTATTCGGTGAATAAGATGCACCAACATTTCTATCCTCTTTTAGGAAGAAAAAGTGCGAAAAATACGGTCTCCCACTTGCTAAGAAAAGTTGCTGGCTGAGGTATTCTGGTAGTTGAAGTCACACATCTTAAAATGGCTAAAGTTGGGAAAGACTGATGGATAGGGAAGAATGTGCCTAGATGTTTTTAAGGGTTCCATTTCAGTAAGAGTTCATACTATGGTTTTCTGCCATAAATGTTAAAAATATTGGTTGGGAAAAAACAACAACAACTGCAATAGTGATAATAAAGCAATCCTTAAAATGGCAGACTGAAGGAAGGGTTCAAAATAGTCCAAAATAACTTAATTACAACAATGATAATCCATTTGAAAAAGAGAGCAAGCATTTAAGGCCAGATGTTTGCATCTGGGAAAGAACAGAAAGGGAACAGGTTTAAATGCCTGGAGGGTGTTTCAGTTTTCTATTTCAAATGCGACTCCCTCAACATATAGCCTTCCAGCTGCGGGGCAGAAAAAAACACACACATTCATTTCCTTTTTCTCAAAGGAGAAACTGTCTCTTGAC